CCTCTGTCATAGGGGAGGTTTGGGGTTCATTATGACAAGTTGCCTTTTTGATTTCAGGGATTATTTTATTTTATTTTATTTTATTTTATTTTATTTTATTTTATTTTATTTTATTTTATTTTATTTTATTTTATTTTATTTTATTTTATTTTATTTTATTATTTATTTATTTTATTTTATTTATTTTATTTTATTTTATTTTATTCTTTTGCAGCTGGCCCTTGGTCTGAGGCATCTCTGACAAATTACTGGGGTGGGATGTAAGAGCTGCTGTCCTGGGCTGTACTCTCAGTCTCTTCAGGACTGCTTTATTTAATCTTTGCATGCTGAAATTGTACTCCTGTGACACACAGCAGGAGATCAGAGACTCAGGTAGCTTGGGTTTGGGATCTGATTGTGGCCTGGGATTGTAGAAGTTGCTTGGAGGATTTTCTTTTTGCCTGGTCCTTTGCTGATGAAGAAACCCACAGTTTCCTTGTTCTTTAGCCTAATACGCAATGGGCAGTCTCGCCTTCTTGGCTCATGTTAGGTGGATGTCTCCAGAGCCAAGTGCACCCTGTTGTGGTGGATTTCTGGTGAGCAGCTCAGTGCTCCTGGGCCCAGCCCAACGCTGCAATGCTCCTCGAGAGGGGCAGGAACCATGGGGATGTCTTTGTGGGCTCTGCTCACTAATTTCAGCAGGTCCTGCAGCACAACAGTGTTACTAATACCTGTCAGTGGTGTCTGTGTTGGGTGGGGAGCTCCTCAGGTGGCTACAAATCTTTGAGAACAGGAATACAGCACCTCTCTAAAGAGACATGGAAGAATTAGCTTTTTTCAACACCTTTTCTCCAGTTGTTGACCCACATTGAATTCTTGCTAGGGGAAATTCAAGAAACTTGTAAACTGTTATAGCTAGGAAACTATTGAAGTATTATTTCAAGAACATTTGGCATCCTGAACTTTTTCATACAGTTTCTGCTCGGGAATATTTTGGAGACCCTGGTGTCCTGATAGCCATGGGTGCCTTGCAGCAGTGCCGGCTGCTGCCCGTGAACGGGGATTTAGCAGCGGTGCTGGTGGTGATAGGGAAAAGGGAAGGAATAGCGAGGAGGGACAAGAAGCAAAAATTTGTCCTGGATTTGTTTGTGGAAGTGTGGAATACGTAATTTCAGGAACAACTGGTTAAATCTGAGAATGCTGTTCCCTGTTAGGCAGAGCCAGCTGATTTGTGCATGTTAGCAATGCGCTTTGAAAGGGGCATGGAGATTCCGCACAGGTGCAGCTGCTGGTGTTGCTGTGGGCTCCTCTGCATCGTCTGCAACCCTCAAACCTACCCACGGGTTGGTAGCCATAGTATGGTACCCCATCAGAATATCTTCGTGCTCTTTATACAACAACTTGGCAATGCCCCTTGCTCCTGCTTCCCTTCACTCCCCACAGCTTTGGCTGCTACAGTCTATGAGACGTGGTCACAGACCTGCAGAGGGCCCGTATATTGTTGCAGTGAGGCAGGAAGAGAAACTTTTATAATTCATAAGTAGTGAAAGCTTGCTTTACTTCTGGGATAAATATTCCAACCCGTTAGGTATACTTTATATGTAACATTTACATCTTGCTGAGTGATTAGTTTAAACAGCTATTTTTATCCTGCATTTCAGCCCACAACTCTCTAATGTTAATTAGTATTAGGAAGGAAGTATGTTTTCTTCACATGCCATAGCAAATGTGCTTTATATAATGATTACAGAACTTGTTTGATCTTTTGTTTTTACTGAACACAGTCTACAGCACTGACGGCAAACTGTTTGGTTTTAGTTTTCTTGTGCCCTGGGCTGTTTTCCACTGTGTGAAATTGCTTAACTTTTTTTTTTTTTAGGTGTTTTTTTCACAATCACTGAATCTGTTGGGGTAAGACGGATTTTCGCTGTAAAGTTGAATTTGCTGTCTTTTGGTGAACAGTTCAAATACCTCCCGCCTCTCCCCTTTGTATCCAAGTTTGAGGGTTAAACCTGATGATGTCAGAAGTTAGGATGGGCTCAGAGGTCAGTCCCAAGCTGTTCAGGTATTGCACAGGGTGCAAAGGATACACTGGGGTGGGAAAGCAAAAAGGCAGAAAGCTTTCCTGAGTATTCACTGGCAAACAATCAGAAGTCAATTATGTACCCCATCCCCAGACTGGGCAGCCAGGAGGACTTCTACTGTTCTCACTCAGCCTTTGTGATTGTAAATAACACAGAGACTGTCTTAGCTGACACAAATATGCTCCCAGAAATAAAGACATAATTACAGAATTCTTAAAAGTCATTTTCTTGCACTACTACAGTGGAGAAGAGCTGGTGACTCAAAGCCCCTAGCTCTAGAAAGGAGAAAAGTGTGAACCTGAATACAAATTTTTAATTTCCTTCCTTTACACTTGAAACTTAAGATCTAATGCTGTCTGATTACTGCCCACCTATGGAACTGGTTTTATAAAGGTTATCCGCCCAAAATTTCTGATGACTATGTAAGAAAACACAAAAGAAACCACTCGTCATGCTGGACCCGTATCATGAAAATGAACTTGAGCTTTCTCTTAATTCACATAGAGTCTAGACAAGGTGTGTCATTGCAGTTGCTTTTGAGTTGTGAACCTGCTCTTACTTCAAAGTTGTTGACAACTGTTAGTTTTGTTTTTCTTAGAGCCAAGGGAAGTGGCATATGTGTTGTAAACAGCTCCATTCCTGGATCAAAGCCCCGATCCAGCAAGCAGGCTGTGCCGGGCAGAATGGGGATGTGGATGGGTCAGGGACCATCTGGGAAACAGTAGGGACCAGGCTTCAACTGCATTGCAACAAAGTCTGCACTGATGGACAGAGCTGATTTCTGCAAAACGTCTGTGGGTATTTTGCGCCATCTGTGGCTGCGGCTGCAAGTTGTGGTTGGTAACTGCCAGATCTGGTGCTCGCTCAGTAATTAAAAGTAGCCCTGGCACCCCCAAGTGCTGCTCGAGGCACACTGTGGTGATGGTGCTGCCCCCCTGTCTGTAGGTGCATCTGGTTCTGCACTTGTTACGTGCCCAGATTTCCTAAAGAAATGTTAAAATGATGAAATAGTTATTTATGAGAGAGAGATATAAAGCAAAAGGAGCTAAGAAGCAAGAAGGGGAAGAGGCAGAGGGCAGGAGGAAGAGATGAATCCGGCCCTATCAGGCGCATGTGCCCTCCTACCCCCACTCTGCCGTGTGCTCCATCCTTCTGTTTGCTGTTTCTGGGATCCTATTCCTTCTTTCGGAAGGATTCAGAAAACTCAGGCTGCCTCAACCCACTTGTCCCACAGCTGGGGCCTCAGTGTTGTGTTTGGCGTCCTGGCAAGAGGGATCAGTGCAAACACTGCTGGCTCGCCAGCCCCGGGGCTTGCTCCATCCCTGTCCCCAGGCTGCCTGCAGCCCACAAGCTCACGGGGAGAGGTTGGACACCAGGCCGCATCCCCCGGTGTGGGGTTTGGTACAGGGGAGCTCGGGAGAGAGGGGAGCAAGCCGCGTGCCTCGGCAGGATGGGGGCGTTTGGAGCAGATGAGTGGCAGGCAGCAGGAAGCGCTGAGCCAAAGGCTGCTGGAGCAGCGGCGCACCGAGCCATCAATAATGGAGGAGGAATTCTTGCTGCCTTCAGAACCGAGAAAATAACACCCGGCTGGGAGCGCGTGGGCGGCAGGGGACACAGCACCCTTGAGACTGCCGCTCTGGAAGTCCTGAAGGGGAGAGCTTTGGAGAATTGAGTTTCTCCCTGCTGTATGCCTGATTTCTTCTCCTGCCCACTAGAAAATTGAGAAGTCAATTGGTCTTTTATTGTTAGGGATGAAATGGCTTTTTTTTTTTTTTTTTTTTTTTCCAATTAATTTTTTATTGGATTCTGAGAAAGGTAGATTTACAACTGCCACCGCAAAGGAGGAGAGAGAGAGAAATATAAAATATAAATATAAAATAGTGGGGCAGTGGGGCTGGGTGGGCGGTGAGCTCCCGAGGCCCTGGGCTGGGGCAGAGTGCGTGTTTTTGGGGGCACACGTTCCTGCTCGGGAGCAACCGGAGTGAATTGATGCTCACACACCTAACAAGGGCTGTGTGGGTGCACGTTGCAGGGCTTGCAGAGAAAAATATCCAGCGCTGCGTGCTCATGGTCTCAGTCTTGCAGGTTTTTTTTGCAGTTTATGTACCTTTACTGCTCTGTGCCTTTACCTCTCTGGTATAAAAGCACAGCTCTGTAAGCATGTGCCCAATGCCAACTGCTCCTCTGTGCTCAACCCGATGGTTTTGAAAACTCAGTGGTGATAGGTGTGTGTGATTTTACATGCAGCATGTATGACCTTACACGCAGTGCGTGGTTTTACACGCAGCGTGTGTAGATGAGGGCATAAGGAGTTGTACCTGTGTGCTGCTGGGGTGCGCCCTGTGCCGCCGGTCACCGACACCAGCCTGGCTGCAGAGGGCAGCGCTTTGCAGCAGGCATGAAGCTAAGGGGTTTGGCCTCATAAAGGCCTGTCCTATAACTATACAAATGATATAGCTATAATGTTATAACCTATACAAATAATGTAACTATTTGGTTAGTGCATAAATATGGTTAGGGTTATATTTTGCTGCTGAAACATCTACTTTATTTTTTTTTTCCATTTGAGGGTGAAGGTGCAAGCTAATGGAAGGTTTTGTAGATAATTTTCTGTTGGTTCTCCCCCTGCCGGGGGGAGACACTAAGAATGCCGTTCATTTGCAAACTCAGGTGTCCATGGATGTAGTTTTATAGCAATGCCTACAGCAGTTGGTATTGATGCACAGTGATAGTTCTAGTCTACCTGTCGCTATTTTCTATAAATCTTACTGTGGTGCTACTGAAAAAAAAAAAAAAAAAAAAAGAAGCTCAGGTCACCTTGCATGGGAAATTGTAGAATCTGAGTAAGAACCACCTCAGCTGATTTTAATAAATGTAATCCCGACTGCTATGAGCTGTGCCATCTGTAACATTATGCAATGTATCTCTTACGTACAGGAGTACAGGAGATGTGACATTCTGCGTGGCAGTGGCAGTGACAGGACAGCATCTGATAGCTCTGCTCTGCAGTGTGGTGGCAGTGATCTTCAGCAACTTCTCAGTAGGACTTTTATTTATTTTTCAGATATAAATTAATTCCTTAGGTCTAATACCCCTTGTGTCAAAGGTTCTAATACTGTTTTTTAATTTTCACATTAGTCTGTTTTTGCAATGGCCACAAGCGAGATGATGACTTTGTCCGGCTAAAACCTTTAGAGTATAAGAAGTGAGATATTTCTGAGATGATCTGATACAGCAGCTTGGCATGGATGAAAGTCTGGTTTCCACTTTAACAAACTGGAATTGGAAAATATTACTTACTTATCACCTATCTCCATGTGGTCAAAGCAAAGATGACGGTGATTATTTACCAAAAATTGGAGGCACATGTCAGGGCAGGTCACAGACTCCTGAAACTCTCTAATATTCACTAAAAAATAAAATAAAATATTGGATTCACCTTTAATTAGGTGATAGATTCTGTCTAAGCTGTCGTTCTGCCCTGTTAGGGCAGGCTGTGATTAGAAAATGATTTTTCCATCCTTACCATTTAACTGCCTCCCTCAAATAATGCGAGCAGATTAGCAAGAATTGCTGGTTCATGTTGGTGTAGATGATGTTTTTGCACATCTTTGTACTTGAGGACATTTTGCCAGCTTCTGTCCCTGTTTCATGTGTTTATATTTGGTTTGCTGGGAGCTGGGGAGGAAGGGAGGCAGAAGATTAAATGGCCTCCAGCATTTTGTTTATGAGAGCATCCTTCCAGCAATCAATGTCCACATGGGATAGAAGCAGATTTTCCCCCTGAGATGAAAGTCAAGCAAAGTTGCCAAATGCACAGTCTTCCCCTTCAGATGTTATGCTGCTTCTGAAGTCAGGAGGCAGCAGCTCTGCTTGTCCGGGGGGGAGCAGGCGATGGAAATAAACCCAGAACCTCAGCCCAGGAGCGAGCCTGTACCTCTCTGCTACACCACAGCAGTGTTTGCCCTCCGTGAACACCGTGCCTGTACTTCTTCCTTCATTTCACATTGCCACAGTGCCTCGGGTGAAGTAACTGGTACAGAATGTCAGTTATGCCACTAAAAACTCTGAGAACCATCTTGTTTTCACTGAACTCAGTGTGAATCAAGAGAAGTTCAGAGGTGGAGTAAAATCCTGAGGTTCCTGTTCAGGCAAACTTTTTTTTCTGCATTTTCTCTTTGTGAGTGGAGCCTGAGTCAGGATTTCATATTCCCTACCGAAAACAGGAGCCAATTAAGCCTGTGATCTCCTAACACAGGTTTAAATGGCCTTGTTCAAACCCAGAAGGTCAGTTTGAAATCACTTCCTACCTGTTTTTCAGCTCTCCTACCTGTAGGGGAGGATGCAGCTCCTACAGCCTTCAATAGGTAGTGCCAGCTGAGGCTTGTGTGTGGGAGCTGCTTGCAGGTAACTCAGAAGCAAGGCTGTCACCAGCCCTCCTTACAAATCTCAGCTGTTCGATGGTGATTTCATAGGGCATGGTGTTTCTGGGTGGAGTTGCTTCCCTGGGCGTTTGGCAGGCAGATGGTCTCATGTTTTCTGGGCAACAGCCTTGTAAGGTTTTCAGACGTTTCTGAAAAGTGTTACCGAAGGTATTCAGAACACATAGCTCTGCCTGGTGTGAAATGGAGTGAAAATAATGCATCTGCTCAAGACATAGTAAGATGCTTTGGGATGTTTCATGCAGCTCCAGCATCGCTGCTTTTGTTATTGCTAGAGCCAGGTGTTCACAGGCAGATGACAAGAGCTGTGAATGTTTTGCTGCCAGTGGGTGCTGCTGCAGAGGATCTCAGAGCAGTGCTTGTACTGGGGCTTGGCCCTGCTCTGGCCAAGGCAATCCTAGAGAAATGTGCATCACTTCATAGCAGAGCATGTGTTTTCCCTATACATTTCCAACCAAGAGCTTTGCAGCATCACACAGGAACTGGTTGTCTTGGGGAGATCCCGCTGGCTGTCTGCTCGGGTCCCTTTCCTTCCCCTCTGGGCAGCACGGCACCGCTTTCTATACTCTAATTTTGGGAGCAGCACCGTCTGCTGCTCGTGCCTTTGTTACCCAGCTATGGAGCAGAGCTCTCGGCACTCTGGGAGTGCTGTGCACGTACAGAGCCCAGAGCAGAGCGACGAGCCCAGGGCTGGGTGTGCTGCTGCCCTTGCTGCCATCTCGCGTTTCGGCTCAGAACAGCGTAGCGGGGGGCTGAGGCGCCCCGGCGCTCTCCACCGAGGATTCCCGCACTCTTCTTTCGTGGCTCCTTCCCCTAACCTCAAATACAAAGCTCTTTAGACAGAGAAATGCATGTTTTGATCTTTTGTAAATGGAGAAAAAAAAAAAAAAAGACGTATCAAGCTAACCCACTAAATGTCCGTGCACTGAAAGAGATTTCACTATAAATAGAGCGAAACCTCTGCGGAATTCACGGCACGATATTGGGTCCTTTTGTTCACTTCGTGAGAAAGGGAGCCTCGCCTTATAGCTCCTCTCCTTTTGAGCAGATTTTAACTGTACATGAAATACCGTATCTGCGATGTAGAATTTATCTTAGTCTATCAGCTGTAGGGCTGTGTACTAGCTGCTGCTTTGTAATCCACTTGTGAAAATTGTGTGATGTGTTATCGTACATAAGGAGGATACAAACAGTGGTGTGGATTTTCCCCATTCAGCCACAAAAGTCATACTGTTAGAGGCCCTCATTTAATCAAAAAAAAAAAAAAAAAAAAAAAAAAAAAAAAAAAAAAGCTGATATAAAAGGAAAATAAACTTTATTCCAGTCCTCTATTTATGCCTGTTCACCCTTTGACCAGCTCCAAAACAGAGCCTACATTTCACTGATAGGCTGCATTATTCAAATGCTATTGGGAACATACTTATTTTTATTTCAAAATAAAATATTAAAAATAAGGGAATAAAAGAAAAATAACCCTTTTTTTTCTGGATTGATGGAGAATTTATGGGTATATAAACAAAAAGATCAGCTAAACTTCAGAATGACAGGGGTTTTATTTAACAGGCCGGATGGCTTTAAAATTTTCATACCTCTCTGCAGTACTTGCAGATACGGGCACATGAAAGCAGGGATCAGCGTTAATGTGGGCTTGCTTAGAAGGGCAGTTTGCTCTCAGGAGCCAATCTTTAAAACTGGGGCCTGAGCTAAGGCTGCACTTTTGTTGGCTCTTTCTCTCCGGGATGTGGCAGTGGCTGCTCCGAGGCTCGGATGGCAGCGGCTCTCGCTGCTGTCTGTCTGTGTCACTCATTTCTCTTGCCACAGGGCCCATTGTTGGCATCCGTGTGATTCATCTCGTTATTAGGTTACTGAAGTGCTTGTAAATGGCAGGAAGGACTTGTCGTGGGGCTGGGCTGGCCCCGCCGTGGGGTGTTTGTGTCCCGGTGTGGGGCTGGGTGGGCCTGGGGCAGGCTGAGGGACAATTTCTCCAGTGTGTGCAGTGTTTAAGTCCCTTAAACTATAACAGGGATACAGAAGTCCTGCCAGGATTACAGGGCACCCCTAAACAGCATGTAAAGATGACAAACATTGAATGCAGCAGATGAAACCTCTTCACTTCATGGGGACTTGAGCCTGTCTTCCAGGCCGCTTCTTCTTGCACTGAGCCCCCCTTGTAGGCTCTCAGCATCCTAACCCTGGCTGGCAGGAGAGCTCCTTTTTAGCAAACACCTGGCTGTGTAGGGTTTGGGTTATTCTGCATGGGGATGTGCTGAATTCCACTCATTTTTGCCAAGTAAAAGAGAGAAGGATGTGCCCTGCTGGTGCTGCAGTGACCGGAACCCCTGGCACTGCTGTGAGGGATCCAGGTTCAAAGCCTGGCTCTGGGTCACTCAGGGGAAGGGCTGGACCTGGCTTTCCCAAATCTAGATGAGAAATAACTGGCAGTAACCAAGCCAGAGAATTCACTCTGCACCCGACTGATATTCCCCAAAGTTTAGTCACAATCCAAAATTACCCTCACCCTGCTGCCAGGCCTGATCGTGGGCAGTGCTCGTGGGCGAGCGCAGGGGGTGAGGAGCCTGTGTGGAAAGGCTGCTGTGAAGGCGAGGCAGGAGGGCAGCACTCGGCTCTTCCCACCTGCCCGGTACCCAGCGAGCAGCCGAGCCACATGCTGCTGTCCTGGCACAGTGGGGCCAGGGCCGGGGCTCTCTCTACGCTCTTGCTTTGCCCTCCGTGCAGCAGGGTCCGCAGCCCCACGGCAGCAGAAGTCAGACATTTCCTCCTAACCCCAACAGGATGCTCACCTGCAGAAATGCCGCACTTTGAGCAAACAAGGGCTGTGCTGCAGCCCGTGTCACGTCCCTAGCACGGGTCCCGTGTCCCCGTTAGGGGAGGCTGCTCGAGGCACGCACCGGGTTCACCTCGCCTCCTTGCAACGCGCTGTTCGTATCCAGCAGATACGTGGGAAGGCAAGCAAGCTACCTTTCATCTCATGTTTGTAACACAGAAAACCTTCAATATTGAGAACAGATAGACTGGAAGGTAGGTTCACATCTCTCAGCAAGAGAGCTGTAACTTAAATCTAATACACCTGATCAAGGCTTTCTCTCTGCCTTGTAGGTATTTTAATACAAATGTGTCTTTCATTTGACTGATTGAAGGTCTCCAACCTGCAATAAATGAAACATCTGATCCCCTTGAATCCAAATCACTTTTTCTTTGATTTTCTTTTACTTCTATTTCTTCTTTCTTTGTTCTACGGCTAGAGTCGAATTTCCCTTTAGAAATTGAAAGAATGTGTGTGGGTTTTTCTGCTCCTCTTACAGTGAGCCTATGCAAAGGTCGAGTGGCTAGTTGACTAGCATATTAAGACAGAATTCATTTCACAGACAGTCTGTAGTGATGTGCTTTACATATCATTATCACGCTGAATTGAGGGAAACTGATTATACAAATTAGTTACTGTACATTATTCTCCAAAGCCTTTTATTTGCATAACCAATAGATTTTATGCAAAGAATATCCTGAAAAAAAATGCTACACGATCATGTATAGTTGAAAGAAAGTTGTTATTATCTAGGTAGGAAAATAAGTAGGCATT